CGAACCGAGCGACGATGGCGGTGGCGAATCTGAGCAACGACGAGGGTGACGGGTCAACATGTAAACTGACGACCTGGGTGACGAGAGAACGTGGTCGACGAGTGGACGCGGGTGAGACGACAACGACGGCTGTTTGAGGTGGATCTAGCGGTTTGTGAGGAGGAAAGGGTGGCTACTCGAGGTGGAGGAGAGCAGGAGTAAGTTCGTCGGGATTATTCGAAGTGGGGGGTGATTGGCGGGGCTGCTCGAAATGGAAGGGAGCAGGGGAGGAGGCGACAGTGGATGCTAGTGGAGGTGAAGAGCGGGGGTGGTTGTTTGGGAAAACGAAGAAAAAATAGGGGAGGGTGGCGACTGTTTGTGGAAGAGGAGCCAGGGGAGTCGGTCTAGGGTTTCACACCCGTCAGCCTAGGGTTTCACACCCGAGGCTTCACACCAATAATGAGTTAACAAAATTTTTCATTGATTCAAATCTTTCATCCTTAAAAATCTGATTACAACAATCTTTTAAAGAAAAAAAATTGCAGATTCTGAAATCCCTCAAATCACTCAATTTGCCACACCTGACTCTACTACCAAAATTGACCCAAAATTCAAAATTCGAAATTAAAATCATACCAAAATAGAAAATCCATCAAATCTCTCACAATTAAAACTAAATTAAGATCTGGTCAAACTTGCTAAATCTTCCTTATCCAAAACTAAAATAAAAGAAAGTTAAATAACAAATATGGAAAATTGTCATTATTGTCCCCTAGGGTTTCACACCCGAGGCTTCACACCAATAATGAGTTAACAAAATTTTTCATTGATTCAAATCTTTTTTTTTACTACCAAATTTGACCCAAAAATTCAAAATTTAAAATTTAAAATTAAAATCCTATCAAAATAGAAAATCCCTCAAATCTCTCACAATTAAAACTAAATTAAGAACTTGCCAAATCTTCCTTATTCAAAACTAAAATAAAAGAAAGTCAAATAACAAATATAGAAAATTGCCATTATTGTCCTCATCATTCACCTTGTTACCGGGTCCCATCCCTCGGAAATCTGGGTGACCCAGGGGCCCGAACCAAGCCAAACACTCTGGGGGAGTGAGCTAGCCAAGAAAAACCCCGGTCCTGCCAACCACCATGATCCCCCGACAAGGTCAGGTGAGTGCAGGAGAGGGGATTCGACTCAAGGTGCTAGCGGGATAAGCCGTTTAAGATCTTCTTGTACTAATCCCCTTTCTATCTTACTTTGTAGTTATTGTAACATATGAATTCCAAGGTACAGGAGAAATCAATAAAAAACAGAACGGAACAAGCCAGTGACATCACTGAGGGGTTTCTGATTTTACTTTGAATCTTTCATAGACTATGATTTAGAGAGAATGCAATTAGCAAGTGACAAAATATGGTACAAAATAATGACTTAATGGGGCTTGTAACACCAACCTTATTTTTTTTTTATTGAGGGCACTCGATTAACTATCCCTCTCATACTTAGTCCAAGAATGCATACCAATATCTGGCGGTATATGTTGTGCTTTTACTAAAATAGTGCATTTTTAGTGCAATTTATGTCAAATATTTTTCACGAGGAACATCATCTTTTAGGTACATTTGTTTTCTTGAAAGTAATGGTAGGTTCTAATTATTCATATTGTATCACTGGCATTTTGGGTTAATCTTATTTAAATTTGTTTAATTTCATCAGGTGTGGGTACCCTCCAAAAAACGCTTCTTATTATGATTTGAGCTTTCACCCTCTGAGCAGCAACAGAGACTGCAAGCTTTACAAAAATGCTAGAAGCAGCAAGTGTTACAACTGTGATTCTTGCAAGCAAGTCTTTCAATTTCGCAGTTGAAAGCCATTACCTTTGCGGGTTACATATCAATTGACGTTATTTTTCTTTTACTCTACTTAGGGCTGGCGTGGCACAGTATATGAAGACAGAGTGGAGAGTGGTTGCAATCTTTAACGTGGTTCTGTTTGTCATTTTGGTAAGTCCTTTCCCCAGAATATTTTGCAGCCCTTACAAAAATCCATCTGTTATGATCATTGAAGAATTAGATCATTTGTAATTATTGTTTTTTTTGTCTCACGCTACATGGTTTGAGAATCCTGAGCCTATGATCCAATAAAAAAGATAGAACAATAGCACAATCAAAGCAAATTCTTGACTGAATAAACTATAAACTCATGTCAAACCTCAAATTGCATGAAGGACAAGAGATACCTTTAAGGATACCACTTGCAAAACTCTTACTAAAAGCAGTAAAATAAAGAAAGCAAGAGCCAGGCATCTGATCTGTCATCCAGCTGTTTAAGGTTGCAGTCTATATTCATTGTAGACATTTATTCTAGTTGCTAATGCTAGCAAATATCATATTTGATTGAAAATATAGCTCCCTTAGCATCGTTTACGTCATAGACTTACTCAAAAGTTGATGGATTTGTTTGTTCATAGAAAAGGCCAGTTGGGCTACCATCTGCAGGCAACAAAGCTAACATCAGAAGGCCTTTAGCTCCTTCTTCAACAGGCAAAATGCCAGTGTTAAAAGTTATATCGGTCTTGACAGAGCCAGGGCACACACAATTAATGCGGTGTGTAGGATACTTCTCTTCAAGAAGCCTTGAATAGGTGCTCATAGCTACTTTAGAAACTTTGTATGCAGATAAAATCGTTGGCCAGCCATTTTCTTCCAGCCTTTTCTCCTTCAAATCTCGTAGAAAGGATTGTAACAGTTCATCCAATCTCTCTTCTGTTTGTTCATCCACATTTCCCATTTGTTTTCTGATGATTTCACCGGGAATGTACTGCAAACAATAAACAGCATGTGAAAAACACTTAAATATAAAGCTTATAATTCTAATTAGATTGGGACAGAAATATAGACCCAACTCTAGCTTAGAAGAGTATACCTTAAGTGGAGTAGGGTTCATCTACATGTAAGATATTTGTAAGGACTGTATTGGCAATAGATGAATCAATAGAAGAATAAATTAATCACATTACTTCTAAATAACACCTAAAATGAAGTTGACATGTAGTTTTCCAATGTTTTAGAAAGCATTAGGCACTTCTAGGTACTGGGCATAGCACCTAGTGCCTAGGTGGCACATAGGTGTTTGTTAGCAGCGCAAGAGAGGATTTTGGTCTAAGATTCAAAATGCATTTTAACCTGATCAGTTCTCTTCATCCATTGTTATACTTAAGTACGCAACAAACTTTTTGGCATGGCGAATCCACAAAAGTAGCCCATATTTACGTAGGCGCTCTCCGGAATTAAGCTGATGGCCTAGGTACTGAGGCCTAGGCGGGCGCCTAGACAGTTGCCCATACTGCTTTTTAAAGCAATGAGTTCCTCTAGTGAAGTTGTATTACTGTTTGACCTGAGAATAACACTTCGCCCCAACATTTTGTATAATCCTAGATGGCAATGAATTGTAAAAATGCCGGTAAACATTTTTAAACCAAGTAAAGAACCATTATATGCAGTTAACAAGAAGTCTTGTAAAAGGAATCAAACAACTATGTATAATTGTATATTCTTAAATTTAGCTGTATATTCTTACTTTTAGCTGTCCATAGGTAGAGGAAACATTCACTATATTAGGGGGCTGTGCTAGCTGGAGAAAGGGCATTAATGCTTTTGTTACACTCTTGACACCATAATAGTTTACATTCAAGCATTCCACTGCCTTCTCATTTGTCTCTCGTGCTAATTCTCTTATCTTCATGAAGCTGGGTATGCCATCCTCCTGTTTCTGCTGTTTCTGCAAAAAGGAAATCATTGTTTTGTACTGCATTCATATGATATTAATAATAATATGACTCAGTAGACAAGAAAACAGCAAACATCATGCGCGCACATGCGTGGTTGGGAAAAGAATACAAAAAATATTTTTCTATGCGTGATTCTTTGATATGTTGATCATGGCTTTCATTCTAACAATTGGAGCCAAAGCACTAAGTTGACTTGTATTGAAAGTTTCCCTTGACTGGAAAGTTGAGTTACAACCGGAGTTGGATCAGTTCCAAGTGAAAGACAGAAAGAGGATATAACGATTAGAATAATTGTAATAAAAGAATATTGAAATCCTACAATAACTAAAAATAGGAGGGAAAAGGTTTCCATATCTACAGTTCGGTAACATCCTTAATAAGCTTACTTTTAAGTTTCATTTAAAAAAGCTGGGTTTCCCAAACTTTCCAAAAACAGCTTTTAAGCTCATCTAGGTAAAGCTGTGTTTAACCAAGCAAATGATTAATTTACCCATGCAATTTTTATAACTTTTATGAAAAAAGTCAAAAGTCACCAAAAGATATCATAGCTTATAAGCTTCTAAAAAGTATTCCTGCCAAGCACCCTCTAAATATTATGAACAAGATCACGGAGGAAAAAACTTAAAAGAAAACGACAAAAGTTATCATTGAGAACTTATTCTAGTGAGAGGTCTCCAAGAGAACAGAAATATTGTAATTTTCTTCACATAATAAAAACTTCTCCCATCTCGCCCATGGACATAAACAAAATTTCTATTCACATTAAACCTTTATGCTGTGTGATTGTTTGTTTTCTTTGTTTCTCTTCTAGGAGTTTCTGATACTCTGACTAAATCCCAACAAGTGTGGTGTCAATCGCGTGCGCGTCACTGTGCCTCATGTGATGCGGGGCGGTGGTGAATTGCCCCGCATCTGATGCGGCAACACTTTTTGCGCCTTGCAAGCACCTTCGAAGGGTGTCTGCAAGACATAGCCTTCTATATTTTTGTTCTTTAACATTTCAAACAGATCTTTATAATTAATAAACTATGCCCTATGTAGCAAAATAAACCTTTTAGATCAATTTACTAGCTCATTTGAGGACCCTAATTTAACTTTGTTTACTATTTGATTTTGCTTCGATATTAGTCTTGATTTGACTTTTGATTTGGAAAAATTATGAACTTTGCTAGTTGCTACTATTGTTGGATGGAGCTAAGACCTTATTTTGTGTTTTGATACTAGATATTATTTACCTTGGCACAATTTTATGTAAAATTCATAAACACGTTCTTTCGTGCTTGATTGTCTATGTTAAAAAATTATGTGTATGGAGTGCGCCTCGCTTCACTTGGGCGTGCGCATTGCGTTGCACCTTGCACATGTACGTAAAGGGACTGTGCCCCGCATTGACCCTCACCCATTGATAACACTGTTCCCAACAAGACCCATAGCTTATGATGTATGTAAGTATGTGGTCGAAAGCATCCCATTTTAATTTAACTTGACATATCCAATTGAAAACAGTTAGCTAACTACCTTGGCATAAGAATGAAAACTTTCGGGACCAAAAAAGACACTATCACCATAGTCCCTAGGCATCTGAAACAGTTAGTTACTCTGTTCTCAAATAGATTTACCTCTCTCATGGAAGCAATTATGTTCTGATAATCTACTTCTAGGCCATTAATCCCTGCATTATTCACCTGCAAGAATAGCTAATTGAAATTTAATTCTACAGATAAACAGGATAAAATGAATTTTTTTCCAATCAATAAAAGGTTGTTCTTGATTTAAGACAAATTACCAAAATATCAAGCTTCCCAAATTGGGTCTTGACAAAATTTGCCAGAGAAGAAACACTAGAAGGGTCAGCTACATCAAGCTGATGGAACAGAACATCAGAAAATCCGGAGCTTTTGAGGTTTTCAACAGCTTCAGTGCCCCTCCTTTCATCTCTAGCTGTTAGTATAACCAGGACTCCTTGAGATGATAGCTGCCTGCAAATCTGCAAGCCATTCCTTTGTTTGCTCCTGTTACTACTGCAATCCTGGAATCAAAATAAATGGTAGACGTTAACAGAACTGTACCTGTTTGTGGGTATTAGCAAATTGAGGATGAACAGTGACTGTACCTGTTTGTGGATCTCTTGCTGATGGGTTCTTCCATTTCTAGTTCAAGTAATGGATGCTGCCTTGAAGCTAAAATCTTCTCCAAATGGTGGTAGTTCCCCTAATATTTAATGGAAACATTTAGTTTGTGGAAGAAAAGAAAACTATAGTGAGGAAAGCCCCTTGTTTGAATGGGTCTTACTGAAAATGAGTTGTGAGAGAGACAGGCAATTAGTTAAATGATGAGATTTGTATAATCTCACTTATGTAAAGACAAAAAGAGGCGATGGGTTCAATTACGAAAATTGAAATCAATATCTAATTGTTTAAAGTTTTGGATCAATGATGGTGTTAGTTCCCCTACTATATATACATATGATGAGAACATTTTAGTTTGCCAAAGGAAAGAAAAGTACAATGAGGAAAGCCCCTTGTTGAATGGTTCTTGCTCAAAATGAGATGTAAATGGATGTGAGAGACATGCATTTTATTAGATTTTGGGATTAGTGTAGGGTGTTTTTGGTAGATTGCAACTGTAGTTGCAATGTAACTGTCACTTGCATGCAACTGTCACTTGTATGCAATTGGGACACGTAATTGCTTTTGCATATAACTGTAGTTGCAATTGTTTGGTTCAATTTTAAAGTTTTACATCTTGTAGTTGCAATTGTTTGGTACTGCTTATACTTTTCGTATGCAGCTTGTTTTTTTTACGTTTAATAAGCTAAAACAATTATTGGTTAATTTTATATGTTTAAAATATTCATTTTATTTAGAAAAAAAGTTTTCTTTTAAATTTTTATTGAAAAAGGAATATTAATATTTTTTTTAAAAATTATGTTTTTGAAAAAATATTTTTGAAGAAATAATATTTTTCCGTAAGATAATAACTTTCTATGAAGTAATAGTTTTTTTGAAAACTAATATTTTTCAAGAAAATAATTTTTCTCAAAAATAAATGTTTTAAAAAAATAATAGTTTTCCAAAAATTAAAATTTTGAAAGTATTGTTATTTAAAAAATTGTATTTTTTTTGAAATAAGATATTCTATGAAAAGTTATATTTTATAAAAAGTAAATTATATGAAAAAGTTATATTTTATAAAAAGTAAATTATATGAAAAAACAATATATTTTTTAAATATTTTTTTTGAAAAATAATAATCTTAGATTTTTTGAACGTTCAAATTATGAGTTTGAGATTTTAACATTTTTAATTAATTTTGGTTGGTTGCAAGTAGATTGCAAGTGCGACTTATGCTCAAAATTGCGTAAGTTGGAAGTTGCAAGTGGAGTGGCATTTGCAATTGTAGTTGCAACAGGAACATCAAGTTGTAAGGAAACAAATAGTTACACCTAGACTTAAATGATCTAGTTGCATGTAACTGCAATTTCGACCCCTCCTGTTGCGACCAACCACACGCTCTCATAGTGTCACTTATGTAGGGACTAGTAAAGGTAATGAAATTTAAATTAAAACTGAAATAAATATCTAATTTTTAAAATTTTGATTAATTTGACTCCCAAGTTGCAGGCCATATTGAAATGTGAGATCTAGTGGAGTGACCCCGTAGAGGTGTGACCACTTTAAAAAAATTTTCCCTTCATAGACTGTTATTTTTGTTCTCATGCATTTTCTCACTCTTCTAGTGGAAAACCATGTAATATTAAGCTATATTGCACCCCATAGCCTTATACGTGCAAGAGAGTCCCATATCTAACAACCATTAGCTCTGAAACCAATGATCGAGTTTACTAATTGTTGGGATTTGATCAGAGTATCTAAAAACCAATGTTACAGAAGGTGCTAGGCGTTTGAGCCAGCGCCTAGGCATAGACGTCTATGTGTATGCCTAAGAGGCGCCTAGGCATTTGGCTATTTTTTAAATTATTTAATTATAATAATTATATATATATATATTAAATTTATATAAGTTTGCCAAAAAAATAGCAATCTTAGATTCACAATAAACCATGCATACTTAAATATTAAATAGCCAAAATAATAATTAATAAGGTTATAGAAAGCGCTAGGAGGCCTAGGTGTTGGACCTGATGCTTAGAGCCTAGAAGTTTTCCTATTTATTTTTTAATTACAATAATTGATAGTAAATGTCAATGTTATAGAAACCTTAGGTGCCAGACTAGTGTCTAGACGGATTTCTTTCTTTCTTTAATGTAAGTACTGATTGAGGAGGTCTTGCTAAAGGTCAGTGGAGATAATGAAGATGTTCATATTTGGAGGTTAAAGGAGTTTAAAGGAGGTTGGAGGACGTGGAGGCCGTAACGTAGAAAATCACGATCAAGGCCTAAAGAGTACAGTCCACGTAAGCAAACAATGCTCCCCTAAGCACTCCTAAAATCTAAGTGGACAGCCTAGGTACCGTCCAGGCGCTAGATGCTAGTTAGGCGGCCTAGGTACTGATTAGGCCTAGGTGTACACCTAGGCGGACTGGGCGGAGGCTTTTTAAAACAGAGCTAAAAACCCATTATGATGAACAAAGAAAACAATCCCACAAACAATAAGTTTTAATATGGTTCCACCATTTGCCCATGTCCGTAGGAGAGGGGGGGGGGGGTGGGGATTTTTATTACCTGAAATTTAAAAATGATTACAATATATATATATTTTTCTCTTGGAGATCTCTCACAAGAGTAACTCCTCAAATTGTAAATTTTGTTGAAGTTTCTTCCTCTTCTTCTAGATTTACAATGAATCTCTTGTGAGTTATTTGTAGACCTTTACTCTTTACTTTGAGCTCATATGGGATTTACTTCTCATGAATCAATTTAATTTTAATCATTCAAATCATAACCTTCTTTCCATTTGATATTGAAATCAATGTAAGGAATCTAGGTACCTTTAGATTTCGAATGAAGAGTTTAACTTTTAGGGTTTCGTGGAATAACCTTGACCTTATGACCAGATAATTAAGAACAAGTAACAATCATAAAAAACACTAGAAGATTTATGTGGGTTAGCAATGTGCCTATATCCACGGGAGAAGTGGGAAAATATTTTATTAACTTGAAGAAGAAAACTACAATAATCACTTTCCTTTTGCTGTCACCTCACAAGAGTAGTTCATCTGGCTTCTTGTAAATCATCACAAGAATATAACTTTCCTCTTGTAAATCCTTACAAGAGTAATTTCCCTTATCTTCCTTTTCTTTTTCTTCTTGAACCTAACAGCATGGCCTTTAATCTCTTCCTTATGGCTCAAGTATTCTCTCAAATCCTAGATCTGAGATAATACCCCTTTATATAGGGTAGAAGTCTTTGGTCCAACAAAAGATTCATCTTGTCCAAAACAGGCCCAAAACAATGTAGGAAATTGTCAGACAGCTGCCCAAAAAATGCTGTTGGTTGACTGGGCGCTCAGTCTGGCTGGTCTGTCCGGCCGGTTTAATTGGCTAGTTGCTGTTTCCACTTGCTTTTGCTTCTGCTGCTTTCCATCTTTGCTGTTGCTTTTGTTGACTGGTTGCTGTCGCTTTTAATCAAGCAATTGAGCTACTTGATGTCGCTATCAATGTGCGACGAAACCCCTTCAAATTTGTGCCATTTACAACATTTAATTCCAATTATAACTTTTTTTTCCTGTCAAAGTCAAATTTCAATCTCATTCAAGTTAGTATTCTAACTTTAATTGTTTAAATGCAAGTCATATTCAACAAATATAACTGCTAACATTTTTCTTGTTTCTTCTTGCAGTCAGCGGTATACTTTGTTGCGTGCTGTGCTCGGAGGAATGCTGCTAGGAGTAGTTCTGATAAAGTTAGAGGCAGATAATCATTTGCTCTCTGATTCTCGTTGAAATGTGGTTAAAAGGCTGCTGCTCAGACGAAAGCTCCCTGAAATGCTTCAGAAAGTAGTCGAAGATCTAAACTCTTCTAAAATGAGATTGAAGAACAGATGATAGTGTCAGAGCTTTATGACAGTGATTGTAACTTGTTCTTGTTGATAGAGTCGATAAAAATCTACGTTAGAAGCCTGTGTATGATACACCATTTGATGTATTTAGCACGCTAAATTCATGGCTTTTCAGTGAATTCTTGTTGCTTTGTTTCAGAGACTTATCAAAGTGAACAGCATAACAAAAACTTTCACACCCCCCAAAAATGGGGATATAATCGGATAATCAACAGCCATGGGCCAATTTTGGCTGCAGTTGGGAGCAAATCTACGTATTTGATTGTCAACATGAGGCTTATCTGAAGCATGTGCATACTTTCAGGTCTAGTACTTATAAGCCTCAGCTTTGTCATGATCATTAAAGGATAGAAGACCATTTTGTTAGTATTATTATTGTTATATCTCGTGTTATATGGTTTGAGAATCCAAGGGATTGTTTGGCAACTCGCTCGCTCACTTGGATAAGGGCTTGTAATATATTCAACAAAAACTTGTACAAAGTTGGATTGATTTGTTTTTTTTTTAGTTCAAAAAAGAGGTTCTTAACTTGCTTACTTCTAGAGCTTCTCTACTTCGGCTCAATCCTACCTCGGTTAAGGCCTTAACCGAGTTAGTGTGAAGTTGCCAAATGCACCTCAGTTGTCAACAAGTCAAAAGAGTCGCAAGTAATAGCAATATTAACGGAAAATATAACATACATTAATGTCAGATTCATCAGCTGCAGGGCAGTCAACTGAAGACAAGGTGGTGGGGGGGGGGGGGCAATCTGTGTATATCTTCAACCTGTTAAGGTTACATTTAAACCCATAAAGAGATGCACTCATCTATAGAAATCTATGCCAGTTGCTGTCCAATGTTTAGCAAGCAGATCTCTTATTTGATTGAATACATAGTTTCCTCAGCATCATTAAGGTTACAGGCTCACTCAAATGTTGATGGATTGGTTTGCTCATAGAAAAGGCCAGTTGGGATACCACCAGGCAACAGAGCTAACATCACAGGGCCTTTAGCTCCTTCTTCAACTGACACGATACCGGTGTTAAAGTTTATATCGGTCTTGGCAAAGCCAGGACGCACACAATTTATGCAGGATGTCGGATATTTCTCTGCGAGAATCCTCGTATATGTGCTCACAGCTACTTTGGAAGCCGTGTATGCCGATAAATTTTTTGGCCAGCCATTTTCTTGAAGATTCCGTTCCTTGAAATCTTTTAGGAAGGACTGTAGTAGTTGATCCAATCTCTCTTCTGTTTGTTCGTCCACAATAGCCATTTGTTTTCGGATGATTTCACCCGGGATATGCTGCAAAAGAACCAGACCAGTAAAAAAGCAACGCGAAAACACAATGCCTAGTTTATAACTACATTCAGGTCGGGACAGAAATGTATAGATAACTCTAGCTTTGACGACTATATCTAAAACTAATATCCAATATTCTTCTTACTCTCAGCTGTTCATATATAGGTAGAGGAAACGTTCACTATATTAGGTGATTGTGATAAGTGGAGAAGGGGCATGAGTGCTTCAGTTAGTTTCTTGACGCCATAACAGTTTACGTTCAAGCATTCGACTGCCTTCTCGATTGTCTCTCGTGCTAAATCTCCTATCTGCCTGGACCTGGGTAAGCCATCTTCGTGTATCCATTTAAAAAAAGGAGAGGGAAATCACTGTTTTGTACAGATACATACATTTATATTGATCTGTGTGCGTTAGGGGAAAAAAACACAAGCGTGCATTAGTGTATATGTCATCCTTAGTTTTGTTGGTTACGGCTTGCATTCAAACAACAGAACCAAGGTACTATTTGGCTCAGATTGAGGGCTGATTTTGACTATAACTACCACCTACAACTGGAGTGGATCCATATCATTATACTGTAACCCATCAAGACAAGAAACAGAAAAAATAAAATAAAATAAAATGTTCGCGTGATTGTTTGTTTTCACCATTGCGACAGTCAGATTATCATACAACACTTTCTCAAGATGTTTACGATTGAAGTGTGTGTATTATGCTGTTCCATTCTCAGTTAGATTTACCTCTTTCATCGAAGCAGTTACGTCCCGAGGATCTCCTTCCTTGCAGCCAATTCCAGCGTCCTTCACCTGCAAGAGTAGATAATAGAGAATAAACTCTACGGATAAATTAAAACAGAGTCCTGATTCTTAAGGAATACAACATTCTCAGTTAAGTGACTATACCTCTTTGTGGATCCCTGGCTGATGGGCTTCTCCGTTTCTAGTTCAGGTGATGGATGCTGTGTTGAAACATAAGACTCTGCGCTGGAGAATGGTCTTTAGCTCCCTTGATATATAACGAGGAAGTTCACTTTGATAATGAAATAAAAATTACCACGAGGAAAGCCACTAGGTTGAATGAGTTTTGCTGAGAAGTAAGATGCGAGGGATGTTGGGAAAAAGAGAGAGGAGAAAACAAGAATATAAGTTTTATTAAAGAAAATGTTTCATTTACTCATATCATGCTAACAGAGAGAATGGTCAAATATATAGGCCTTACACCAACTTAAACTCCTAGAAATCAGCAACAAACAATTCAAAAAGCACATGAGAATTGACTAAGTAAACAACTAAACCACTACTAACATACTATCCTGAAAAATAGGAAACAACCTAATAACTAATTTTGAATCAGTTATTCAACATTCCCCCTTGATTCAAAATTTCTTGTCATTCCTCTTGAATCTTCATAGAGCACTTCTCTTCATAATCTTGTAAAGCACTTCTCTTCACTTTGTGATGCACTTCTTATCTCTATCTTGTTGATGCACATAATCACCAACATTCTCTTAAAGGAGCACCTCTCTCCACAAATATTGATAGAGCATTTGTCTCAATCTCTCCATGGTGCACATCTCACCATGATTCCTAGAATAAAATTTTTTCTTCAACTGCTTGTGTCATGTTTGCTTCTTCTTCACCATTATATCGACAATATTTTTGGATATGACCAAATCTCTTGCATTTGTGACATTAATGTTTTCCTTTATGCCAACAATCCTTCTCTTCATGGTCAAGTTTCTTACAATGGTTGCATTGGACGCCTTTGCCTTTCCCTTTTGAAGATGAAGTCTTGGCTAATAAGGCTTCTTCAAAATTTTCACCATTTTCTTCCTCCCTCATTGATCTCCTTTGGTCTACGACACTGAGGGTATTGACTAAATCCACTAGAGTTATTTTGGATAGGTTTTTAGAATCTTCAAGTGAGGAAATTTTGGACTCATACCTTTCGGGAACAGTCACTAAAATCTTATCAACCACTCTTTCATTTGAAAATATTTCACCAAGCAATCTCCCACGCATACTATTTGATTGACAATAGCCATAAGCTTACTGACATACTCTTTGATGGTCTCACCTTTCTTCATCTTTTGCATCTCAAATTCCCTTTTGAGTTTCAGAACTTGCATCAATTTTGTTTGATCGTTACCCTCGAACTCTTCCTTTAGCATCTTCCACGCCTCCTTAGGTGATTCACAAGTCATTATACTTGTGAAGATTCCGTCCGACACGGCCGAATGAATACAAGAGAGGGCTTTTGGCTTCTTTGCTTTTTCTTCGTCATGCTTCTTGATTTGGTTTAGGGTTGGATTTTATGGAAGAGGGGTTAGCTCATAGTCACTCTCAACAACCTCCTATAAACTCAAAACTTTCAAATGAGGTTTCATCTTGATAGCCCAAGATTGATAATTGTCTCCATTGAGATGGGGTATGAAAGCAAAAAATTGTTGGATGTCATTAAAAATATAAAGGTTGATCACTCTATGTTTTTTTTTAAATCCTCACAAGCCCAAGAAAACTGGAGCTCTGACACCATGTTGAAAAAAAAGAGAAGAAAACAAGAATATAAGTTTTATTAAAGAAAACGTTTCATTTACTCATATCATGCTAACAGAGAGAATGACCAAATATATAAGCCTTACACCAACTTAAATTCCTAAAAATCTGCAACAAACAATTCAAAAAACACATGACAATTGACTAAGTAAACAACTAAACCACTACTAACATACTATCCAACAAACAATTCAAAAAACACATGACAATTGACTAAGTAAACAACTAAACCACTACTAACATACTATCCTGAAAAATAGGAAACAACCTAATAACTAATTTTGAATCAGTTATTCAACAAGGGAGACGTGCAACTGTCAAGTGCTGGGGGAAAGACCTATAGAGAGGATCCTCTAGAGAAAAACGTATATGGCAATATGGGATAAAGACATACAATCTCATAGGAACCTCAAAGTACATATCGTTTGTTATAAATATAATCATTGCTACCTTTTAGTGTTGGCTCTGAGATGCAAGCCTAAAGGGGATACTATTTTTGGAGATATCAAAGGATATGCAACAAAAATAAATAATAATAATAAAACAATAAGCAATGTATAATCACATAAATAATCACAATTAAAACACACGTGATTTTACAGTGGCTCAGATAAATAATCCTACATCCAGTTTTTCTTCTCGCGAATGGGCTTTCTCACTATGTGAAAGTTCTCTGACTCACACACCTGATACAGTAGGTTTACAAGACCAAAATTGTAGAGTACCATTTTTTAGTTCATAAAGGGTTTCATATTTGTAGGTAGTAATTGGGTAATTGTGTGTTGTAAGTATAATTAATATGGAAGTTTAGAAATCTAAAAGCCATGGAAACTTTAAAAAAAAACCACAAATCAAATGATCTCCATTCTACAAAGAAAAAGAAACGAAAAGAACAAGTAAGAAAGAATCTATAGATCACAGAGAGTGGAAGAGAAAGTAGATTGTGCTTCAAAGGTTAGTGAAAACTTTGTATTTATGTTTTATGGGTTAGTTTATAGGTTAAAAATAATAACTTTTTCTGGCCACCGGTGTCATCTCCAGCGACATCTGATGAACTCTAGCCATCAATGGTCGTGGGTTTCACCAGTGGTGATCATTATGGCTGTCGAACCCAACAAATCCAATTGGGTTCTGGTGTAAACAAAATGGAAGAGATAAGAGGAAGAAGAAAAGGAAAATTATTGCCAGACCCCTAGAAATACAGAAATTAGCTTTCAGTACAAAATCTTTGAAAAGGTGATTTTATACAAAACCTAATTAATGGAAACATTGTCATTTTGACCCATTAAACTAGAAAAGTTGCTGTTAGGTTGCTGTTAGGCCCAAGTTCTGTTTAAAAAGGATAGAAATAAATTTTAGAAAACCCCCTAGAAACTAGAAATATCAGTTTTATATCCAAAATGGTTTGAGTATGGAATCTTTAGTTTTTATGCATCTTATATGATTATAGGTTTGATCGAGGAGTAGGTTCTAGGTGTACGGTTCTCCAAGTTGTTATCAAATCTCTTGAGGTGAGTAGATTTCTTCTCATTAGTTATTTTCTATTATATATTATTTAAATTTGTTATCAAATCTCTTGAGGTGAGTAGATTTCTTCTCATTAGTTATTTTCTATTATATATTATTTAAATGATAATTTTATTTTTGTGAGTAGATTTCTTCTCATTAGTTATTTTCTATTATATATTATTTAAATGATAATTTTATTTTTGTGTAGACAAATTAGGGATTAGACATGTTATTCTATTCATTTATAGTAATTGTTAACAAATTTGAATGTGATAGCTACATATCTTTTACAAGATAAATATTATTGAGTATAAGAGATTATTGAAAATATATCATTTCAAATTTACTGTTCAAATGCATTATTTGAAGAGTTTTATTTAAAAAAATTATTTATTCGTTTAAATTTATGAATATTCTAAATTTTATGAAATTGATATGAGAAAAGTTTGCAAAAGTGTTTAAGCATTTATATTGATTTTCGTACAAGTGGAAATTGTGAGCGCTACTTTGAGCAAAAGAAAAGCGATTTTAAATGTTAAAAAAAAAATCCTCAAAAGCCTGCTATGGAGCGAAATGATTTGTTTAAGCCTACCATATGGTATTGAATGTACCGATCAATGTTAAAGTGAAGTGGCCTTCGGGCAACCTATGGTATTGTTAGGTACATTCTGTCCCCGTATTGACTTATAGTGATTTGATATGCATTCTCATGCTACTCGGCTATAATTTTTGTAGCATTAGTGTGACAACTGAGGAAGTTTCGCATGTATAGATTTAGATAGATAATTACAATTTTAAAAGTATTTAGTGTTCATTCGTATTGTTTCATAATTTGCGAATATTCTTTTATGAAATATCACATCTATTCTTAAAAATTCCTCTTATTCGAAATATTATGTGTTTCTTAATCGTGAGCTTTGGAACGTGAGAATGATCTTTTAGGGTGTTTGATGCTGAAAGTTAAAGTTATACAAGTCTTGCTACTATGCATATGTAATAAGAGTCTTTTAACTCATTAGAGTGAACTTGTTATAATATAGTTTTGCTCTGAGACTTTTCTATTTGTCAATAATTTTTTTAAATGAAGTTTATTGTATTATGGAAGTGTATCGTAGGCTTAGCATGTGCTTTGTGCACGTGTTGCCATTGTCATGTATCTCATAAGCTGTGCATTTTGGGGCCGTGACAAAGACCCTTGTTTCTCCCAAATTAATCATCTAACCTAAACTCTTCACTTCTCTAGCCCTAGTTAGTGACCAATTCTTTAATTCAATCCTGGTTTGAGTACGTTGTAAACCCTCAATTCACCACGGCTTGAGTACGCCATAAAAAAAATGAGCTTAAAGCAAAAGATAATTAACAACTAAGGGCAATATAGAAAGAATTTACAACCCGTTTTTATTGATCATTCCCCAAAAGATCGAAGTATAGATCTGGGAGAATGACGATGATGAAGTCCATGAGGAGCACTCCTCGAAGGTTGACAATCGAATGATGCAGAACGGCTCGAGGATGCTTTTTGAGAAGCCTGAGTGAGATCCTTTCATCAAATTGCAGTTCTAGCTCTCTCCCTCTTCCTCTTTCTTTTTCTCTCTCAATTGGGGTAGGAATCTATTTGAAAATTATGAGGAAAGAGCTTATATGCCCTCGACAATGAACGTCTAAGATTAAGTCCAAAATTGATCAAAAATAACAAATCTGCCACTCAACCATCGATGGTCGAACTTAACCGTCTATGTGAAGTTGTTGCCATCGATGGTTAATGTCCCACCATCAATGATTTGAACCTCTCTGGACATTTGCATCATCGAGGGTTGACAGTGCCATCAATGTTCTATAGATCACATCATGATCTTTCCGAAAAGTTATTATAATAGTGATTCCGATAACTGAGTGAAAAGTTATGGCTTGTGCAAGTTTCGGTCTCGGTATATGTTTCGAACCTGCTATTGTCTGTTTCGATGTAATTTTATTAAAACATTCATATCCCAAGCTATACATCTCCGAATTGAGTTCTGTTTATTCTTGTGGATTCGTGACAGTGATATGACAACGATACAGGCACTCTCATATGCTCAAACATGATTTCCACCCTTGATATTTTTTTCAGAATTAGCTGTGATTAAATTGTCGTCTTGCTCTTTTCATCGAACTTGATTCTAACTTCTTGTAACTTGTATACAATATCTAAAACATATATTAGACCAATAATAAGGTTTGTTACCCATCAAACAAGGTTTATAGTACGGACACGGTCCTAACATTTAGTGCCTACTACACTAATAGCTAATGCATTAATAGGCAATGCCTACTGACCTAATAACTGTAATGATGTATGCATCAAGATTCATGTTAGGTCAGATGTCTTCATTCGTTATCTTCCTATTTGATTCCCAAATTTTAGAATTATTATTGTGAAATATAAAAAAGAGTAAGGCATTTAATTTTTTTAACTGTTAATAATAGTTTATGGTTTGAGATTAATTTATTTTCTAATTTTGTCCATATTTAAATGTGAGGTCTAGGAGAGAGCCCAGACACTGTAATTCTCTGCTACGTTGCACTTCACAGGAGACAAATATTTGGGACTGGGAGTGTTAATTCTGTAAGCTCTCAAAAATTCTAACCAACCAACTGGTTCGCTGTTGTCTGGGGAAAAAGATCTTAATAGTCCAAACTTTTGATCGTGAAATGGTTGGTCCATATCTCAAACCTCAAAAGTCTTCATTTATTGCGCTGCTCCTTACATGCTAACTGATATGGTATTTTTATTTCACAAAACCCCTTGAACTTTGGTGGTTTTACAAATTTATCTTGCAAAAAAAAAAAAAACCTAAAATTAATTTCAGGCGTCTTACAAACAACTGTGAAGTTTAAACTTTTCTCACGGACCCCCTACCTCTGACTGGCAAATAACTAAATTATCTTTGCAAGAAAAAAAAATTTCCCAAATTTAGTCGTTTGCCATTTACATGCAGTGTACCCCCGCCCAACCGAGGGTTTTCTCCCAACTAAAATATCCTTGACATATCGTCATGGCGGTTTTGTCTCATGCTACAAGGTTTGAGAACATCAAGTCTATCATGCACAAATAAGGAGTCCGAAGCAATAGCAAATTTGGACTGAAAAGAAATCATGCGCAAATATCATCATCAGATGTCTGACCAAAGACGAGAAAATGAAACAAAGCAAGAATAACCAAATATCTGGTATATCATTCAGCTGTTTAAGATTGCAGTTTCCGCCCATAAGAGTTACACTCATTGTAGATATTTACTGTAGTTTCTGTCCAACTTTAGCAAGTACATATCATGGTTTCATATATGCATTACAAAGTTCAGTAGTTACATACTTACTCAAATGTTGATAAATTCGTTTGCTGATAGAAAAGGCCAGTGGGGCTCCCATCTGCAGGCAACAAAGCCAACTTCACAGGGCCTTTCGCTCCTTCTTCGACACTCAGAATACCACTGTTGAAGTTTATATCTGTCTTCACAAATCCAGGACAGACGCAGTTAATTCGGAACTTGGGATGTTTCGCTGCAAGGACCCTCGTGTAGGTGCTCACAGCTGCTTTCGAAACTTTGTATGCTGATAAATTTGTTGGCCAGCCATTTTCTTCGAGCTTTTGCTCCTTGAGATCTTTTAGGAAGGACTGCAACAGTTCGTCCAGCCTCTCTTCTGTTTGTTCATCGACAGTACCCATTTGTTTTCTGATGATTTCACTCGGGATATTCTGTAAACAAGAAATAACGTGAAAAACACTTAGTTGCAGCGGAAAAACAAACCACAAATCGATGATAAAAGAGTGAAAATAACCAGAGAAACAATCACAGATACAGTGATTAACCAGCTTCGCCAATCCTTTGTCTAGAGCGTACAACCATGCCCGTTCCACTACTAATCAATATAAAGGATTGCAATCAATCTTCCAGACCTAATGTCACTTCCCCGTCATCCCTACTTTCTCTCCTCTAGATATTTAAAATGATAAGCGGCTGAAGATACATATTTATAGTGTTGGGCGCAGAGTCACGCCCACCGCCGCAGAAGCGATATCGCCTGAGAGAGAGCCATGGCTTTTGTTGTCACAAAAACACAAGTCAACCTCTATATTCTTGTTTCTCAAAGGAAACGAGAATAGATAGTGAAATTCTTATTTCTCAAAGGAAACAAGAATCGAAAGTGATATATTTCATCAAAGTGAAATATACACTCTTCCTCTCATCAGCTCTAAGACCAAATATTGAGGGAACCTACAAGCAATAGCCAACACCCAGAAAACAGTAAATACACGAGATTTACGTGGTTCGGCAAACTTGCCTACGTCCACGGGAGGGGATGAGGAGAGATTCCACTATAAGGAGAACACCGACGACTTGTACAATCCACAAGCTCGTCTCAAAGAAAAAAAAAAGATCTAATTTTTACCCAAAAGAAATTGACCTCTCTTTTGTAAATCCCTCTTTTTCTCTCCTCAAGATCTCTCTTTTAGATCTGAAAAAACTCTCAAAAACAACCGCAGGAACTCTGCGTTTTTTTTTCTTTGCTGTTTTTCCCCGCTGCAATTTACCCCACTATCTAAACCCTAGGGGACATATGGATATTTATAGGAGATTTGCGGCCCAAAATCTCACGCGGAAAAGCTCATCCACTCATGCAGAAAAAATCACCAACATGGGTGGCCCCCACTCACAATTCTCCACCTCGTACATTATTTGATAAACCTCAAATTATGGAGGAACACTAGAAGAAATACCGCGGACATCACCAGAGAGGTCTGAAACACCAAACCAGAGCAAACCAGCTACGCCACTATACCGCGGCTGCCTACGTACCATTCACCGGGATCAAGCTAACCGTAGTTCAGGAATATGTTCTCCATCATAGTCTCCACCTCACCCCATCACCGCCCCGAAGGGCCATGCCCTCTTGGGCATATCAACACGGGCTGATATGAAGCAAGTCCAAGCAATGCTGGAACTTACTACCTGTGACCATCTTGGTTAACATGTCAGCGGGATTCTCATTCGTATGCACATTCATGAGAGAAATATCACCTTCCTCTATGACGTCTCGCACGAAATGATACCCGACATCGATATGCTTGGTACGAGCATGATGAACTTGATTCTTCGCCAAGTGAATCGCACTCTGACTGTCGCACCACAAGTTCACATTATCCTGCTCAATCCCTAAATCGTCTAGAAGACCCCACAACCACAATGCTTCCTTCACTCCCTCCGCCATTGCCATATACTCGGCCTCTGTAGTAGAAAGTGTCACTGTAGCCTGTAACATCGATCGCCAACTAACTGGAGCTCCATGTATCCTGAATACATAACCAGTAGTAGATCGCCGTTTATCTAGATCACCCGCATAATCAGAGTCAACAAACCCATCAATCTGACATGTATCTCCACCAAAACACAGACCCGTATCTGCGGTACCTTTCAAGTACCTCAGGACCCATTTCACCGCTTCCCAGTGCGCCTTTCCCGGATTCGCCATGAACCTGCTGACCACACTAACCGCTTGTGAAATATCTGGACGTGTACACACCATGGCGTACATCAAACTGCCAACTGCACTAGCATAAGGAACACACTCCATGTGTGCCTTATCTTCCGCTGTAGTGGGAGATTGTTTACCTGAAAGCCTGAAGTGTGGAGCCAATGGAGTCGCCACCGACTTAGCACTTTGCATCCCGAACCTCGCGATCACCCGCTCTATATAGCCCTTCTGACTCAAGAACAATCGCAGATTCACTCGCTCTCTTCTAATCTCCATACCTAGTATTTTTCTAGCAGCGCCCATGTCCTTCATCTCGAACTCTTTACCAAGTTAAGATTTTAACCTATCTATCTCCACCTTGCTTCTTGAAGCAATAAGCATGTCATCCACATACAAAAGAAGATAAATATAATCACCTCCACGAAGCTTCCGAATGTAAACACAACAATCATAGTCGCTTCGGAAAAACCCATGCTTTAGCATGAAGGAGTCAAATCGCTTGTACCACTGCCGAGGAGATTGCTCTAGTCCATAGAGTGACTTTCTCAAGCGACATACATGATGCTCCTTATCCTCAACCTTGTAGCCCTCAGGTTGATGCATGTAGATCTCTTCATCCAAGTCTCCGTGCAAGAAGGCCGTTTTAACATCGAGTTGTTCCAGCTCAAGATCACCATGAGCAACAATACTCAATAGTACCCGAATAGAAGTGTGTTTCACCACCGGAGAAAATATCTCATTGTAATCCACACCCTCTCTTTGTGCAAACCCCTTAGCCACTAGCCTCGCCTTGTACCTCGTTCCACCGAGCTCTGAAGGATCTTCCTTTCTCTTATACACCCACTTACAACCAATAGCTTTTCTTCCTACGGGCAATGGGACCACCTCTCATGTTTGGTTCTTCCGAAGAGATTCCATCTCCTCCTCCATCGCAGCCAACCAACTCTCACTCTATTTATCCCGAATAGCTTCCTTGAAAGAGACCGGCTCATCTTCCTTCACCGAGAGTGCGTATTCAACCAAATTAACCTGCCCATAGTGCTTCAGGGGTTGATCAACCCCCAGCTTCTGTACCTGCTTGTATGCTCGCTTTGGCCTAGTGGAAGCCAAAGTATCCTCGAGCTGCTGTTGTTGCAGTGCCTGTGTATTCTCCTGCTGAACCTCCTCTTGCTCAAGCGAACCTGGTTGGTCTTTAAGTTCTATCTCAATAACCTGGGACTTTAAAGTCCCAACAGTCCCAACACCATCATCCTTGGGCGCCCTAGCAATCATGGATTTTTCATCAAAGGTAACGTCCCTGCTGATCACGAACTTCGAATCTTCTGTACACCAGAGGCGGTAGCCTTTTACGCCCTTTGCATACCCTAAGAATATCGCCTTCTTGGCCCTCGCGTCAAGCTTTCCCTCATTGACGTGATAATAGGCGGTACATCCGAAAATTCTGAGTTTCTCATAATCTGCATGCTCCCCTGACCACACCCTATAGGGTGTATCACCATCCAATGTCGAATGTGGAGAACAGTTCACAATATAACATGCTGTAACCACCGCTTCTGCCCACCATTCGTTGCCCAATTTAGCATAAGATCGCATACTCATTACCTTCTCCCGCAATGTTCGGTTCAGTCTCTCCGCGACCCCATTCTGCTGTGGTGTTGACCTAACTATCCAGTGTCGAACAATGCCCTCCTGATCACAGAACTCCTTGAAAGCACCATCTGTATACTCTGTACCATTGTCAGATCTCAGTGTCTTCAATTTCTTGCATGTCCTATTCTCAACCATTGCTTTCCACTTCTTGAATGTCTCGAATACCTCATTCTTATGCTTTAGAAAATAAATCCAAGCATACCTAGAATAATCGTCTATGAACGAGACAAAATACCTGGAACCACCCTTGGAAGTTGTCTGAGCCGGACCCCAAACATCCGTGTGCACATAATCTAGTATATCTCTGCTCTTATGATTGCTTTTCAAGAATTGGACCCTGTGCGCCTTTCCATACACATAATCCTCACAAAAATCCATGCAAGGTTTCTTCAGATTCTTCAGCAAGCCCTCCTTACCAAGCAGATCTAGACCCTTCTCTGACATGTGCCCAAACCGCCTATGCCATAACCGTGTGTGCTCACATGGGTCTCCACCACTTCCTTCAGTTCCAATCGCTGCATCTCCTGTCACCGTCATACCCGAAAGAGTATATAGATTACCGTGACGAACACCCTTCATCACTGTTAGGGAACCTCGAACAACCTTCTTCACTCCGTTTTCTGTAACAATCTTGCAGCCATCGGAGTCCAATGCACCCACTGAGATAAGATTCTTCCGCAAGTCTGGAACGTGTCGCACGTCCGTTAGGGTTCTGACCACTCCAACATGCATCTTGATTTTCATATCACCGAGCCCCACCGTTTTACAAGCATGGTTATTCCCTAATAGTACGGTTCCACCATCAATGCTTCTATAGGTAGTAAACCACTTCCTGTTTAGGCACATGTGGTAAGAGCAACCCGAATCAAGTATCCACTTACCGGAGATATTTTCGCTATCCGTAACAACATAGCATTCTTTATCGCTCCCTTCCTCCGAGGCGTAACTCGCCTCTTCCTTGCCTTCTCTTCTCTCGATCTTGTTGTTCTTTTTCCCACCAACTCTCTTATTAGGACAGTCGACCTTGAAATGCCCAACTTCACCGTATTTAAAGCACGTTCTTCCCGCAAGAGGTCTCGATTTAGATCTAGACTTTCCTCCCTTGCCTTTTCCTCGCTCATTGCTCCTTCCTCTAGCAAACAATCACTGCGCTTGTTCTTTGTTACCACCAGTAGTCATGTCACTGGTTGCAATCTTCCGAAGGTCATTCGCTAGAAGCGCCGTTCTAGTCTCATCCATCGTCAAATTGTCTCCCACAAGCATCAGTATTTGCACCAGGTTCTCATAAGACTTCGGCAGAGATAGAAGTAGTAGAAGAGCCTGATCCTCGTCTTTTACAATCACATCGATGTCCTTCAAGTCCGATATAATCCTATCAAACTTGTTGATGTATTCCCGGATTGATGAGCCCTTCTTCATCTTGCAAGTATACAATTTAGATTTTAAATAGATCCGGTTCGTTAGACTCTTCGTCATGAAGGTGCTTTCTAACTTCGACCATACGCCCGCAGCCGTTTCCTCTCCATCTACCAAGAAAGCTACATCCCTTTCAAGGCAAAGGATAATCGACGC